ATGGGTGGTTTCTGGGTAAAAAACTATGAATGGAAAGCAACAGTTTAGTCTTTTAGATTCTATGGTTTATCTATGTCTAGTAGGCATTGGGTGGATACAGCATGAGGGCTAGCATTAATAACTTAATTGTATACCTAAAAATCCCCCCAGAATAGATTTTTTTTTTTTTTTTTTTTTGAGACAGAATTTTACTCTTGTTACCCAGGCTGGAGTGCAATGGCGTGATCTCGGCTCACCGCAACCTCCGCCTCCTGGGTTCAGGCAATTCTCCTGCCTCAGCCTCCTGAGTAGCTGGGATTACAGGCACGCGCCACCATGCCCAGCTAATTTTTTGTATTTTTAGTAGAGAGGGGGTTTCACCATGTTGACCAGGATGGTCTCGATCTCTTGACCTCGTGATCCACCCGCCTCGGCCTCTCAGAATAGATTTTCAGTGTTCTCACATGTAAAACAGAAAAATACATGAAGTAAGGTAAAACATAAAGTAGCTTGATTTAGGCTTTTCACAATGTGTACATACTTCAAAATATCATGTTGTATACCACATATATGCACAATTTTTATTTGCCAATCAATAAATAAAAAGTTTAATATCTAATATTGTTACTATATGTAAACTAGTGTTGAATCTCTCTGAACATTAAAACATATTAACAATATGGCAATAGTAAAGCTTATAAAGAAAACTGATACAAATTAAAAAAATTACCTTCGTAATCATGAAGAGGAATTATACACCTTGGTTGGAAATTCACAGATTAAGCAGAGCCAAGACTTTAGTAAGGTCAAATGAAGCAGTCAAAACTCAGTAAACCTGATCTAATGGACATGGTTAGAACCCAACAAAGAGGGAGCACATTCATTTCTGTGATTTCTGAATCAGCCTCAAAAGCTGTCCTCAACAATCAAAAGGTAACCTATAACCTGCAAAAATGCAATCAAATCATTACCCCAAACATATATATTTGGGAAATTGAAAACTACAAAATATTCTCCAGTCAATACATCACAGAAGGCATGATACCTACATAAAGAAACAATAATGAAAATCCCACAATCAACACTAGTGCAATGCTGCTAAGGGACAACCAGAGAAAGTGTGACTCTAGGCTGTGCATCCAGTGTGCACATATGAGAAATGAAGATGGAATGGAAATGTGTCACTTTCTGAAGAAATCTAAGAAAAGAGAAAAAAGCAACCATGTACATACAGAAAGCAAAATGAAGGAAATGATTCAATTTAAAGATAATTTGATGACTATAGGCCAGTTTTGCTTATCAACATTATAAACAATATTGAAAAATAAATGTCAAAGCAAATGAAGCCAAATAGATATTTGAACAGATATTTGACACTGGGAGATACAAAATGATAGCAGGCTCATGGAACCACTGGAACCTTCCCAGACTGCTGCTAGGACTGGAAATCAGGAAAGGTCATTATGAATACCTCTTAGCCAATGTTCTTGCATTCATGAATGGGAAGATACATCCAAACCAGAGGCAGCCCCAGGATGACCTCAAAAAAGGTTCTAACAGCTCTCACTGCTTCTGGCTCACTGGCTGGGTTCCTGGCCACTGGACTGGGCCTGGCCCCTTCCCTAGACTCCTGCAGGCTCAGGGCAGCAGTGGCATCAGCAGAACTCCTAGGTACAGACCATACTCACAGGTGGCAGGGCTGGGGCATGGCTCCAGGGTCCCTATTCCAGTACCTAATGAAGAAAGGGTGCTATGTGTCTGTGGTGTGTGACTCATTTCTGGGCTGGCTGGATGGGAACACGGGCCACTTGAGCAGCATCTCCTGACACTATCTGGAGATATTCATGCCCAAAGGTGACAACTTCTCTCAGCGCTGCCTGTCAGGACTCCATGTTCCTGGATGGCATGTTTGGAGGAATGGAGCACCATTGCTGCAGCTGCCTGGTAAGTGCGCATTCAGGTTTTGGAGAAGAAAGATCAGGATCACTTTCCTATTCACCACTCTCGTTCAACATAGTTCCTAGGGCAAGTCAGGGCCAGAGCAATTCGGCAAGAGAATGGTTAGAGGAATAGAACAGAATGGAAAGGAATGTAAAGAGGAAAGGAAAAGGAAAGAAAGGAAAGGGGAAAAACGGAAAGAGGAGAAAAGGAAAGAGAAAGGAAGGAAAGAGAAAGGTAAAGACAAGGCTTCTACATAGAAAAGGAAGATGTCAAATTAGCCTTGTACACAGATTACGTGATTATACACTTAAACCTAAGGAATCAAACAAAAACAGGCAGAAATGATTAAGGCATTTTTGTAAAGTTGTAGAATACAAAATATCAACACACAACAATCAGTAGCATTTATACTCACCAAGAGTGAATAATCTGAAAAAGAAATCAGGAATACAATCTCATTTACAATAACTGCAATCAATATAAAACACCTAGGGGTCCCTTTAGTCAAAGTCGTGAAACATGTATGCATGGAAAACAATAAAACACCAAAGAAAGAAATGGAAAAAGACAGGAAAATAAAAAGCTCTTCCATGCTTACGAATTGGAAGAATTAAGATTGTTAATATGACAACAGTAGCCCAAGCAATGAACAGATTCAATGTAATCCCTATCAGAATACCAATGACTTCTTCAAAGAAATAGAAAAAAAAAAAATCCTAAAATTTCTAAGGAGCCACATGAGATCCTGAATAGTCAAAGCAATCCTGAGCCAAAAGGATAAAGCTGGAGTTATCACACTACCCGACTTCAAAATGTACTAGGATGCTATAGTAACCAAGTCTGCATGGCCGCGTTCTGAAAACAGACACATAGATCAATGGAAAAGAATAGTGGACCCATATATATGCGCACACATTTACAGCTAACTCATCTTTGACAAAGACACCAAGAAAATACATACATACAGTGGGAAAACTTCATGCACAAGAATAAGACTAGACACCTATCTCTCACCATACATGAAAATCAAATCAAATGGATTAAACACACTGAAGACCTAAAACTATGAAACTAGTAGAATGAAAACACAGTGGAAACACTCTAGGATGCTGATCTAGGCAAAAGTTTTTGCTTTAAGACCTTAAAAGTACAGGCAAACAAAGCAAAAATAAACAAATGGAATTCTGTCATCCTAGAAAGCTTTTATAACAGCAAAAGAAAGAAGAGAAAAGAAAGGAGATGACACACAGAATGGGAAACAATATTTTCAAACTCTCCACCCCACAAGGGATTCAAAACCAGAATATATAATAAGCTCAAATAATTCAATACCAAAAAAACTTCAGAAAACAAAGACCCTATTTTACAGGAAACCTCTGGTTTTTTTCATGGAACCCCAAGAACTGTAAGCAGACAGATCCTTCTCAAAATCTAAGGCTCTGCTCTGTTTTGCTTTGTTTTACCTGACCTTTTTGATTTAGGCAGCATGAGAAACTAGTACAGGAGAGACAGCTAAAGAGAGTCGTGGATGTGAAGATGTATTTATGGTAAGAAAGGTTATGAAGGAAGGAAATTTTATATGAGAGAGGATCTTGTAGAGCAAATTCTTATCCTAAAGTAGAGTGACTAATTTAGAAAAGATGGAAATAACAGGACCAGTCAGAAAGTCATAAAATGTGAAAGAAAAACTTACAACTGCTAGATTTTCTCCTGTCTAGAAGTGTGTGTGTGATGTTTATACAAAGGAGCTGCAATTAATTGGCTTCAAAGAAAATTAAAGCTCTTAAATATTTTGTCAGAAAAATAGTGCCTTTTAGTTCATGTAACTTCATTAATCTTTGGGAAATAAAGACAGTTTTAAAATTATTGTTGGTAAAATAAAGATGTCTTCAAAATTTAAACATTTGGTCTAAATTAAGCCAGAGGGTAAATTTGCTAAGTGCTCTAATGTCATAAACTGCTTCTTTGACTTTGGAAAAGGGTTCAATTTACCTGGTTTGGAGGCGTTAGGTATCTAGGTAAGGCCTGGGCACAGATTAGGCAGCGACCCTGAAAACACAGACACTCATTGTGGCCTGGAGAAAAAAAGAGGGAAGGACATTCTTGGCGTTAGTTTGGGAGGTGGTGTCAGTGAGCTGGGGGATGAGGATGCTGAGAACTGTCCTTAGTTGTGCAGTGGAGGAGGAGTGGAGTCCATGCCATGGTGCAGATGCGCCAGAGCTCTGCTGAGGTAGTCACGCTGCAGGTCCCTCTTACCTACCCTCTAGCCCCACAAGAGAGAAGACCCCTTCATGCAAATGTGCTCCTCTTCCCCTGCCCAACCAAATCACTCCCTGTGCCCAGAGTGTCACTCCCAATGGTGGGGTGACATTTCTGGGAGGTGCTACTTGGGCTAGGCCTTGCTTCATGCTCCCCAAGGGCCCAGGGAGGGCCCAGCTGCTGGCCCCAGTATGCCCTGAATGGAGACCAAGTTCAGGTGTCTGGTTTCCCAGTTGAGAGCCCCATAGAGCCCTCAGCAGCAGGCCCACAGCGCACCCTGCTGCCCAAGCCCAGGTCTGTGGTGCCTGTGGCCAGATGCCAGAGGCTCCTGACAGAGGCTTCTGCCCCCACCAGGGCCTTGACCACCACCTGTTCTCTGTCCAAGGGCAGAGTGAGACCCCTCCTTAGAGCAGCCTCCTACCTCTTCTTAGCCTTTAGTTTTCTAGTTAGGCCTCTTCATTGGGATCAGGACATATGACACACCTCGCTTTGTAAGGAGTCCTCAGGAGTACATATCGTATTTGGGAGCTGTAATGGGATAATTTACATTGACTAGAACAGAATGTCTCCGTTCTGCAATGCAAATGTGAGAATAGATTAGACTGATTGCTTCAGGGGCATTTGCATTCATAAAAACACATTAAACTGTATAACTAAGACCTGCAAATTTTGCTTTATATGTTATCTTTCTATATAATAAAAAGAAAAAATAGGACAAAAAGCCTACCTTTCAGACAAAAACCAGTGGAATTTGCCACCAGCAGAACTTCTCTGAAGGAAATCCTAAAGCTGTTTTTTAATGAGATGAAAAATAATCTCAGTAAGCAGTCCCCAAAATCAGGAATAAAAGCGTTTTAAACAGTGGCTAAATATAGGTAAACTCAAAGGAAAATTGAATATATAAACAATGACTTTTTCCTCAGTTGGTGTGTCCATGCATGTATGTGTAACGTAATGGTGCACATGTATGTATTTAAGAATGCATATTAACAGGTATGTGTGCATATTTGTGAACATAGCATAACTATATGTTTCGATATTATGTAAATTGCTAGAGTAAATGGAATTGAAATTTTTACAATCAGATTCTATACTGCCTGATCCTCTATTTTAAACACTGAGCTGCCTTAGTCTCTTTATATTTCCCAAACAATCAAGAAGACAGATTTTCTACCTTGAAATAAAAACTTAATGTAGGCTGTCCCCACCCCACCCTACCCTCTGACCTGGATGTTCCCAGGCCAGAAGGAGAATGAGAAGAGGAGATAAGCTAGGCCATTTCCGAGGAAAAATTATCTTTCTGCTTTTTAGTACCCTGGGTCCAAAGAATTGAATTATTTTTACTGCTCACATATTGGATAAACCACTCACCAGTCTGTTTGAGGTACTTCAAAATTCTTATTTTATCTTTTTTAGAACTTTCATTTCTTATTCAGAAGTACATCCCAATCTCCACAGTTAGCATGCAGCTTTGTGGAAATAGAAAGAAAACATTTAATCCACTTTTCAAATATTATACTTTTATGCCTAAATTATTCATAGTTGGCTGGGTGTGGTGGCTTATGCCTGTAATCCTAGCAGGTTGGGAGGCCAAGGCAGGAGAATCACTTGAGCCCAGTAGTTTGAAACCAACCTGGGCAAGGTCTTTTGTAGACATTGTCTCTACAAAAAACAAAATTAGCCAGGCATGGTGGTGCTTGCCTATAGTCTTAGCTACTTGTAAAGCTGTGGTGGGAGGAATGCTTCAGCCTGGGAGACTGAGGCTGCAGTGAGGAGAGGGGCATGTTTTACAGCTACATAGGATAGGGGTTAACAAAGTTATTAGAGCACTTACTCTTTAACAAGAAAGGAAACTTTAAAAAGGAACTTTTCTACTTCCCACAGAAATTATTCACATGGTTGGAATTATTCACATGCCATGACCTCAGGCAGTCAGCGGGTTGGCAGTTTGACGCCAGGAACTCACGCCTTAGCCCCATGCCCGTGGTTGCAGAGTGCTCAGTGCCATGGCCCACTCTCCAGGCAAGGGTCAAGGAGGAGTGGACTCTTAAGCCGGGTTGGCAGGACACTCAGCAACCCCCAGGCCATCCCAGGGGAGCTCTGCTAGCCTGCTCTGTCGCCTGCAGTGCAGCCGCCACCTGTATGCCGCCCTCCGGCTGCAGTGGTCAGGCAAACCCCATCTGCCCACCCCTCTCCTCAGCCAGGACCCTAGCCGTGTACACTGGCGCCAGACACTGCCACCACTGTCAGCCAGGCCCTGTGGAGGCAGGAAGAATGAACTGGCTGCTGAGCCCCCTCTGGTTGACCATGCAGTACCCATGCCTGTGGCCCCCGGACTCCTAGTGTGTGCTAAGGCAGAGCAGACACTCCGGCTTGGCTATGGTGCAATGGACTACCAGGAGACCATCCAATAGAGAAGATCCACCAACCCGTGCTAGCGCCCTAGGTGCAGCCTCCACCTGCACGTCTGTCACTGGCAGCAATGGCTGAACAATCTCTGATTCTTCACGCCCTCCCCACCCTCGCCCCAGAAGCAAGGACTCCCTGACCGGACGCTGCAGTGGTGGCTGTTGGGAAGTCAGCCGAGCAGGTACATAAGAATAAAGATAGCCCCTCAGCCGCATCCCAGTGGCCACGACGTGCTTGTCCCCTGGGGGCCCCTCAGCCCTATCCTAGTGGCCCGCAGGGAGCAGCCACGGCAACCCTGATTGTCCTTCCTCACACATGCTGAACACACAACTTGGGTGTCGCGGTGGTGAAGTCAGGCTGTAGCCCCAGTGGCACCACGAGGCTGAGAACCGGTGTTCAGTCTCATCCCTGTGGCTGCAGAGTGCTCAGCACCAGATTCAGTGCCCGCAATTCAGGAGCAGCTGGCCAGAGCGGCGGCGCAGTCTGCGGGGCCCTTGGGCGTGGCCGGGCGTGGCTCTGGGAAGCCACCTCAGCCCAAGGGCGCGGCGGCTGCAGCCGCCACCAGCACGTGGACCAGCGGTCGCCGCGGATTGGGAATCCCCCACCAGGACTGCGCCACCAACTGCGTGGACCCCGGAGCCAGCTGGGCAGCGAGCGGCAAATCAAGCAGTCAGCGGCAGGAGCGCAAGGCCTGGACTTCAGCCCCTGGTGCAGGAGGCAAACACCCTCGGCCGGGTGGGCTGCACGCTCAGCGACCAGGAGCCCTGCCGGCCCCCGCCGGAGCCCGAGCTGCAGCTGCCACCTGCAAGTGGGGCGCAGGCTGCAACGGTGGCAACCCCGGATCCCGCCCTCCGGCCTAGCAGCCATCAGTGTGGACCCCGGGACGACACAGCGGCAAAGTCGGGCTGTGGCCCGGGCGGCTGCAACACGCAAAGGCCACTCAGCCCCATCTCTGCGCTGCAGAGGGCCCAGCGCACGGGGCTCCGCGTGTCGGCAGCCGGTGGAGGAAGGTAAGGGCGCGCGGGCGACAGTCAGACGCGTTCTGGGGCAGCGAGGAGCCTCGCGCTCCAAGGAGCCCAGCCAGCCTGAGGCGCCTCTGCAGCAACCGCCGCCTGCACGTGGCCCGCTAAAGCGCTGTTCTCGCGGTTTCTCTGCCTCGGGCCTGTGGGGCGGGACGTCTGAGGTGCGCGTGCGCGCTGGTCCTAACGGTTCTGCTGGGCGTTCTGCTGCGACGCGGGAGGCGCTGAGCGTCTGTGCGAAGGTCCGTGATCTGAGCGCGTTGTTTGTTGTTGCGCTTCGGAGGCGGCGATCCCCGAAGGCGAGTGAAGTATGGCTAAAGCTGGAAGCATTAACCTAGGTTATTTCTCAGTCTATGACTGGCTGCAGAGGAACAGCCTACAGAAGTGCGAAGACTCTCCGACCTGGCAGACGCGCAAAAACCCCTTGCAGCACTTGTGGGGCGACGGTTTCTCGTGTGCCGAATACAAAATCAAACCATCTCATCTGGAAAGGATCCACAGAGCTGCTGTCTATGGTAAACTAAAGAAACTGGACACCATTCTGATCACGGAAAATTGCATCGATGACAAAGACAGGAAGAACAGGTGAGGGGGCTGGGAGCTGGGGCTGCGGGAGGAGGCCTTCGGATGTGGGAGAAGTGCCCCTTCCAGGCTGAGGGCTGCGGGGTGGATGATCTGGGGCTCGGGGTATGGATTTGGGGGAGAGGGGGTGCCTGACTGGGGTGGGAGTGAGTGGAGCGGGGCCTGGGGAATGGGGGTAAATTAAGTGGCGGGGTAGAAAGTGAGTTGGGGAATGGGAGTGGGAGTAGGGGATGGGATGGGGGGTTGAATGGACTTAGGTGGATGGAATGAAGGCTTAGGGGTAGGGGCAAGGACGGTGTGGGGTGGGGAGATGGGGTGAGGGTTCATTGGGGTAGAGGACTAGGGGTGGGGGTGAGGGTTGGGGATGGATGGGGTGGGGGACAGGGGTGTAGGGGTGAGGGTGGGGGCAAGTCCTCTCACCAAAGGGGCCAGACTTTCTTCCCTGGCGGGTTGAGCTGCACCTGGTATGTGGAAATCTCGGCAGGGCTGAGCACCCAGGCCATTTTCATGAGCAGCAAAACAAAAACAAAACTTTAGTTGGTTTCTAATCACTCACCATTCCCCTTCTTTATAAATCATTTTAAAGTGATTTCACTAATAAAATTCAGCATGTGCAGCGTTTTATTTTTAATGTACACATTTTAAAGCATAGTGTTACATACATTATGGAAAGGTACATGAGAGAAATCATTTCCATAATACATAAACTTTACGGCTAAAAATTATTTGGATAATATCCAATCTTTATTTTGTATCAATGGACACCTATGTTAGTATGGTTTTCATTGAGAGACCTTAGAGGGAAACTTTGAAGTGGGAAGATGGTCTACGTTCTTGAATAGAAAGTCACCTTTTTCTAAAGTTCTGAGCTCTTTCTGTGTTTATAAATTTTACATAATCCAAATAAACTTATCAACGTGTTAACGCTTTTGAATTACATATGCCTTTACTATTGTGATGACATTAAGAAAACTTTGGAAATGGAGTCAAAAAAGCCTTGCCTTTCTAGATAATGAAAACGTGCTATTAATTTACACAAGTTATTTACTAACAGCTGAAACCACAAATCAGTCGATGGAACAGGTTAGAAAATCCACGAATACCCCAATATGTATAAGAAGAATCTATTAGGTTGGTGCAAAAGCCATGGCAGTTTTTGCCGCTATTAAAAGTAATGGTGAAAACCATATTTGCTTTTGCACCAATCTAGTAGAATTGGATAATGGTGACATTTCATATTGGTAGGAAAAGATGAATTACTCATAAATGAAGTGTCTGCTAAATATTTGGAGAAAACTAGCTAGATTTATATGTCACAGAAATAAATTCCTTATGGAATGTAGATTAAAAATTTTAAGTGCACAAAATAAGAAAGATAACAGAAAAAACACAAATGCCTACTTATATTGATACATGTTTATATTCCTACAGAGATATCACAAGCACACATTCTGAAGGTCGACTTGGCAAAATGAAAAAATTAAAACCTCCTGTTTATTAGAAAAAATTAACAAGACAATAAGTATATATACATATTATATGAAAAAGTGATCTTCACTTTACAGAGAATTCTTCAAATCAGTAAGACCTCTTATTTTTCCAGATATTCAAGTAACCTGTGCTGCTGAGACCAGCTCAGTCATAGATACCCCAACCCAAGCAGCGCTGAAAGAATTAAGAAACAGAAACAAAGATAGAGTGCAAAAGTGGGATCAGATTGGGACCTTCAGGGGTCTGACAGCATTTCCCAACTGAAAGCCCAGAGCAGACTCAGACCCATGTATTTATTCTTTGTGAACAAGTGATTATTTTTAATAAGCAGGTGCTCAGTGTTTCTTCATAAAATAAAGATAGACTAAACAGGCAGATAGTGCCTGTTCATTACTAAAATAGAAATAAGTTAGAAAGCACTCTTTGTGAGTCAGCAACAGGGACAAGGTCAAATATCCTGTGTTTTGGGAACTGGTTTAACTAGTGCATGAGCGGTACGTATTGCCTACTATTCTAGCAGTTTTCTGCCTGGGGATGGCTCAGAGTTCCTTGCCATCACCTCTCGGCAAACAACATATACTCTGTCACACACAAGTCAAGACCTTTTCCCAGCACTGTGCACATAGGAAAAAATATTTAGTGTTCCTGGGAGGAGAAGGTATTTCAGTTAAATAAGGAATGAAATAGTGTTTTCTGTCCACAAGTTTGTGAGGCTAAAGAGGAACAGTACATATACTGCTGTTTAAAGTTTACATTTTTGATGACTTTTCAAATAGACAATTCATTGACAAGTATTACACTTTAAAAATATATGTGCCCTTAACCCATCAATTCCATTATACTAAAATATCTCTAGGAAATATAGATACATGCAATTTGTTTTTCTCAGCACTGCTTAAAACAGCAATGTATTGGGAAAATCCCATATAATGGATTTTATAGATTTTATAAAATTAGAAGTAAATTTCAGTATATCCATAGGATGGGACAATACGGGACCTTTGCAGGTGTCAGTAGATACAGACATATATTGACGTATGAAGATGTACTTTGAAAAAAAATTGGTTTGATTATACATATACACAGTCTATGGTGTTTGTTAGCCAAATATGTGTACAAAATATAACATTTCTTCTTTTCTGGCAGGTATATTGTGATTTTTTCTTATCTATGATGTATAAATGATGAACATGTATAAAACTTCTAGTAAATGTTTTTTTATTAAGGAAACTATCCTTGGGAAGAGAAGAAATATAAATCTTGCACAGAAGAAAATAATTCTCACTTTCTATTTTATTTTATTTTATTTATTTTTATTTATTTGTTTATTTACTTACTTTGAGGTGGAGTCTTGCCCTGTCCCCCAGCCTGGAGTACAGTGGCATGATCTCAGCTCAGTGCAGCCTCCACCTCCCAGGTTCAAGCAATTTTCCCAGCTCCGTCTCCTGAGTAGCTGTGATAATAGGTGTGCACCACTGTGCCTGGCTAATTTTTGTATATTTTAGTAGAGACAGGGTTTCACCATGTTGGCCAGGCTGGTCTCAAACTCCTGACCTCAAGTGATTCCCCCCGCCTTGGCTTCCCACAGGGCTGGGATTACAGGCGTGAGCCACTGTGCCTGGCCTCATTTTTATTTTTGTTTATTGGTATCTTCTGTGAACTTTTAGTCTCTTCAGAGGTTGAGAGAATATTTGTGCTCATTTATTATGCATAGATTTTAGTATATAAATGTTTTTATTATAGTTTTATTACGTATATGCAAACAATTTTAAGTTCATTTACAAGTGTCCTCATGAAAATGAAAATGAGCAAATATAAGTGATTATTACTACTCCATAACCACTGCTTTAATTTATAGCTTTCTTTCATAATAAACTTCCCCAACTGTATGTGTGTATTCTTTCAATCCAGTTATTCATCAAACATAATCTGATACCTTTTGTGTAGCAGACACATATCACTGTCTCTCAGGACTATTCAACTTCATGTCGAACAGCTTCATGTTTACCTTCCCAGCCTGAGCAAGCTGAGAGATTTAAAACGGAAGTATTAGGACTGAATCCCAGTTGGATGTTTTATTCCTTTTTTTTTTTTTTTTTTTTTTTGAAACAAAAGCACTTCTGAAGTTAGAAAATAGTAAAAGGTAACCTTTAACTGCCCTTTCAAAAACTATGACAGTCTCAACTACTGCTATTAATCATTGCAACTACCTAATTTACGTAACAGTCTATAAATCTAATTATTGAAAAAAATGAGCCACACCTATTCATTTGAATCCTGAGTTTTCTTTGGGTTTTTTTGAAAATTGAAGTAAGAATTACTTTGTTTTAAGAATTTGTTGTTTTGATTACATATCTAAGGTGTGTTTTATTAAAAAAAAAGAATTTGTTGTTTTTATTTTGGTCTTCTTTTTCCATAGTACTTTATTTAGGTGCTAATTACATGAATAGAACTGCCTGTTCTATGTACTGTATCCCATTTAATGTAAGACTCTATGGATTGGGTGATACCACGTTACTTTATATATCATTAAGAGAATGTTTAAAATGTTGCCAGTTATAATTGTAATAAATAATGAATTGTAAATGGTATTCCAGTTTCAGGAGATGTTAATATATAAGAGAATAGTAGCTTATGTAAGAGAATAATGAGAACATGAACATCTGAAAATGATTGAAGTGCAGTGATACTTCTAATCTTTAATACGTACCTCAATGTGGATACGATTGTATCATCTTACCTAAATAAAATGTCTTTGTAAGTAGTAATTATCTAAAAATTATTGAGCTGTCATTTGTGTGAGGAACTGTTGTAAATGCCATACATAGATTCTCATGTAAGCATCACAGCGTTGTTCTGTGGGATAGCTACTATTCTCTTATATATTTTCTTGATGAGGAAATTGAAGCAAAGAAAGGCTAAATTTTAGCTAAGTGACAGAGCTTAAAGTAAAATTCAGGTCCCCAATTAAACTGAATCCAAAGGCCAAGCTTTTTCTGTTAAATAGCCTGCTCTTTTATTAATATGATGAGTATTAAGGGCTAACAAAGATTGTACTTTCTTTTTAAGAAAATTAAATATTTTGTTTGAAGACAGAGAAATAACATGTGAATTAACTTCTGGGATACATGTGCAGGACATGCAGGCTTGTTACATAGGTATATATGTGCAATGGTGGTTGGCTGCATCCATCACCCTGTCAATTGCATGTTTTTAAAAGTCCTCTCATTCTCACAGGACTGCTCTACATTTGGCCTGTGCCACTGGCCAATATCAAGTGGTAGAACTCCTGGTGCTCAACAATTGCCAGCTTAACCTCGTCGACAGTGAATGCAGGACACCTCTGGTCAAGGTATATAGAAGCCAACTCTGAGCATGAGATGGATTTGGTTTAAGTACATAGAATAAAATGAATTTGTCTCATTGTAATACCACTATATAACTAGTTACTAAATCCTGTGGAGTGTTTATTTTGATTTTCCAGTATTTGCAATCTTTTTCTTGGTCTAATATTGACAGGCTATACAACTTAAGCACGTGTCTTGTGCAACTTTTCTGCTGGAAAATGGTGCCAATCCAAATATTGTGGATTACTATGGCAGGACTGCTCTACACTATGCTGTGTATAATGAAGATACAGCCATCATAGAAAGACTACTTTCACATGGTGCAGATATTGAAAGAAGCAGCAAGGTATAGATCAACCAATGTTATTTTCAAACTACCTGAAATGCATTTATTTTAACATATAAGGGTCAGTTTTTCATATTTGGAATCTCAAATATTCCTCAAATGAAAATATTTTTAAATGCCTTAACTGTCTAAGATTTTACTTTAAATATTGGAACTTTTAAAGAAGCATTACAGGGTACAGCTTTCTTTCATGCACTTATGGTAAATAATTATTACAATAAATTTGTAATTCATGGTAACTGAATTTGGGAAAGGTAATAGTTAAGCTTTTTTTTTTTTCCCACTAAATTACTCTTTTTTTCTGATTAGTGTAAAGTGACACAGGAAAGTAAAATTTGCCGTTGTAAATATGCTTTATTTTAAATTTCAAAGAAAATTAAAGCATTTCACAATAAATGTAAATCTTGCTGCTGTTGACAAGTAATGTATGTGAAGATGATTTCATTTGACAGTGCACTTTGGGGGGCCAAGGTGGGCAGATCACGAGGTCAGGAGTTCAAGACCAGCCTGACCAACATGGTGAAACCCCATCTCTGCTAAAAATACAAAAATTAGCTGGGCGTGGTGGTGCATGCCTGTAATCCCAGCTACTCAGGAGGCTGAGGCAGGAGAATCACTTGAACCCAGGAGGCAGAGGTTGTAATGAGCCAAGATCATGCTACTGCACTCCAGCCTGTACGACAGAGTGAGCCTGACTCCAAAAAAAAAAAAAAAAAAAAAAAAGGGAAAAAAAAAAAAAACTTATCTAAAAAAAAAAAAAAAAAAAAAAATGTGATTCCCCTGTGGAAAGGTGGCTTAAGAGGGAAAAATGAAAAGGAGAGCAATCAGAAATACACAAGCTAATTTGGAAATTAGGTAATGAGGAAAAATACTGAGAAGAGGTTTTTTGTGTGTTGTTTTCAATTTATATGTTTAAACAAGATTCTCTTTGGTTTTGGGGATAATCATTCTTACTTTGGGAAAGAGTTTGTAAGTTGTAAAATTGCCTATGGATCAATTTTGGTAGGACTCTGAGGAAACCAGATTGGCAGTGAATAGTGGGGATGAAGTCGGACACAGTTCAGCAGAGAGAAGAACTCATAAATAATGGACATTATTCAATTCTGGCAGAAACAGCCACCTAGATAAGCATCTAAACTGTACTCTCAAGTTTAGAATGTCTTTATGGGCAGGTAGGAGATAAGGAGCTTATGTGTAGTAAAATCAAGTTGGATTTTGAGTTTACTATTCTCTTCTCTATCCCTACCCAGGAAAAGTAAATGGAGTTTTCAGTGAATGGCTCTATCTTTTGCTCTTCACTCTTTTTGGCCAAATCTCAAATGATAAAGGGGATTTGCTATGTGGATGAGAGATGAGACTGAAGTGATTATCAACTGCGCTAGTTTGAAGCTAGAATTGTGCATGACAGTAAACTGAGGAAATTAAAAGCAAATCTATAAGTCTAGAATATCCCCTGAAGATTTTAATATAGCAAATCTAATACAGCCTGGACATGTATGTTTTAAAATATTTCCTTGAAGCTGGGCGTGGTGGTGCATCTAGCTAGAGCAACAGAATAAGAACCTGTCTCTGACAACAACAGCAACAAGTTTCTTGAGATACTGATACACTACTGGTTAAGAACCACTGTATAGATAAGTATAATATAAATTCCCATATCTCAGAAACTTAAGAGATCTCCAGAAGAGTTGGAGTTTGATAGGTGCTGCTTTCTTTAAATCTCTCCTGCCCAATAATATTAGTCCAACTTCTATCTGTCTCTACCTCTGAGGTTGGGAAGTTAAAAGGACTATTATTTGCAGTATCTATCAGCTTAAGACTAACACCTTTTCTTTGCCACCATCATTTATTCACTGCCATTCAGAGGGTCGTTAGAAATTTGCTATTGAGTAGTCTTTTAATAAGTAGAGGCTGACTCAGGATTTTGAGTCTCTTTGTTATCATTCTGGTGATTAGGTCAATACATCATTATTAAAAGCAGGATTCTCTCAATTACAGTAGTAGTACATTCTAAACCTTTTTTTAAAGCTGAAGCTCTATTATGGACTGCCTCAGTATGTCAAGTACGTAAAACAATGCATAATCAGGATAGCAGTTTGAAACACTGAAAGCCATGAAGTTCGTAAGAATACAGAGAGGTATTCTTTTAATGATTTAGTTTCAGCAGTCCTATAAACTAATTATCCATTTGGTGAACAATCTGGTTTTTTTTTTTTGTTTTTGTGGGGTTTTTTTTTGAGAAGGAGTCTCGCTCTGTCTCGCCTAGGCTGGAGTGCAGTGGCATGATCTCAGCTCACTGCAACCTCTGCTTCCCCAGGTTCAAGCAGTTCTCATGCAAGCACCACCATGCCCGGATAATTTTTGTATTTTTAGTAGAGATGGGGTTTCACCATGTTGCCCAGGCTGGTCTCGAACTCCTGACCTCGTGATCAACCCGCCTTGGCCTCTCAAAGTGCTGGGATTATAGGCGTGAGCCATTGCACCTGGCTAATCTGGGAAAAGTAAACATAAATTATAAATGAATGAATGTTGTAAAAGTGCTTGAAGTGGGTGTTATGACTCAATAATAATTTTTATTGCATTCTTGAGCCTGTACTCCCAGATTACAAAAAATTTTCAAAAAATCTGAAACAAAAGAAGTATTTTGCATGAAAATACTTGCTTTATGCACAATTGCTTAGAGCCATATCCATAGCAAATATAAAAATACAAGGTCTATAGTCTAAATGTGGCCCACAGAATGTTTAGTTTGCCTCTATAATTTGTGTCAACATGTAAGGTTTGGGAGGCTGTACACAAATCTGGATTCCAGGCTTCTTTTAAAGAATCTAGTCTGGTGTCCCTTGAGCCCATCTCACCGTTAAGGATGCTGTCCAGAGGTTGCCCCTTTCTATGAGGCATGTGGTCTTCATTTTGCTACTGTGCCTACTTAGGTACTTCACTTCCTCAGGTCATCTCCCTTGCCTCTGTAAGGATGACTTTACAAGCCCTGTTTTATAGTATATTTTAGTAAATATTTCAAGGTTTTCGATATTTTATATTTATTCAAATATGTAGTCTATATTTTATATAAATCCTTTAGTAATGGGGTTGAACTTTTGAATTTAGACAGTGTTTTATAAACTATTTTTCTTTATATATACTATAAATAATCATCTTCCCATTAGAATGCATGTAAGCTTTTTCAGGTTTATCAGTTGGTATAGTTGCATAGGTTATGCGTATTGCCAGCAATATTATATCCTTCTCTTCCGTATTGTCTCCTAAAAATGCAGGTAATTTAGTGGCTTTTATTATACTATAAATAATTCATATAGGTAATTATTAGAGCTTTAATTGATAAGCCATTTTATTTTTCTGATTTATATTTTATCAAAAAAAATTAAGTAACAACATGGAAACTAGAATACAAATAAATTTTAAAATGAGTTATGTACCAGGGTCCTAAGATTATAATTATATAATTATTTGCACCAGGGTCCTAAGATTGTAATTGAGAATAACATTTCATACAGAGTTTTCTCACTGCTAAGATAAAAATGCTACTAGAGAAAACCCATGGACTATTTAATAATAAGCAGCGAAAGTTTATTTGAAGCCTATTTCTTTTAATTCAGAGCCCAGCTCTTCGAATTAAAAAGAGATAGGCTTCAAATGAATTGTCAATCATGTCAGAATCTCAGATGACAATGTCAGCTGCTCCCCAGGAGATTCTGACACCGTTGATAGAATCAAGCGAATGTGTATCACCCAGAGGAAATATCCACCTTTACTGGTAAGCTCTCACAACTGTATCCCTGAAACTCTAATTCCTTAAATGTTAATGTTCTACATGAAAAGTATTGACAAATAGGGATTAGGTGAAGCTCAAAAGATTTCTCAAATACTAGTTACATACTGCACAGTTTTGTAACATTTTTCAAACATGGGTGATCATGGAGTCTTTCTTTTGGAGTCTTTCTTCAACTTCTGGTAAAGTAAATATTCTTTGGAATATATTAATAGTTTAAGAAACACTGCTCATAGATAATAATTTAGATCATTAATAAAAATACCTGAAACATTTATTACTGTGTCTTAGGGTTTGAGGACACAGAGATAAAAATACAGCTCTTGCTCTCAAGAAACTCTTGGTTCAGGTGGGAAACAATAAAATCCTTACAAAATACCAAGCTAAATGCGGTGACAGAAGCAAAGATTCTTGGAACTGGTAGATGTTTGAAATGACTTTTGGAGATGACCAGAGTTCTTACAGTGAGGCAGAGAAGGGTTGTTTCCAGGGGAAGGAGCAGCATGTAGAAAAGCACCGAGAAGTGAAAAGAAAGAGACTACCTCTTATGTTCTTTCAATTGTATATATTTAAGTTCATAGGATCTTACATAAGGTTTTCAATTCAATTGATAAATATGTGATTTTGTGAATTATAAATTGTTGCTGTTGTTTTACAGGAAGAACCTTCACCACTTTTACTTGCTGTGGGTCAAGGAAAACTGAAGATGGTGGAATTTTTATTGAAGAAAAACGCAAATGTAAATGCACTTGATTCACTTAAAAGGTACAGATCTTAGTTCTTGTTGTGTTGTTTTAAAACCTGAGTGTCATTTTAGAGTGACAGCAGTCACTCAAGTCATAAATATTACATTAATAAGAAGACTAACTTTTAATTATTGGGATATAGTGAGAAATATCAACACAGATTATAATTAGGTAGAAAAACAATTATTTGGACTGAGTAACAGAGAAGAGTGTTGATAGGATTTGTCTCTCTATATAGACATTATACACATAGAAGGCTTCTATATATAGAAGTCTGTGTATATTGACAGATGTTTGTTATTTGTAATATGTGTTATTTATAATGTAATAATGTGATGTTTTTGATTGTATGATTTTATATTATCTAAAGGGGTTTCATGTTTTTCATTTCTACTGTGTTTTGATGTTGTTTTTAATTGATATGGGGAGAGGGAGAAAAGATAGCTTTAAATGGGTAAAACTTTAATGAAGACAAGCTTTAGGTTCACACAGGACTGGGTTTAATCCCAAACTTTCCCACTTGCTAGATGTGTGACCTTGGAAATATTACTTATCACCAAGTATGTTTTCTTACGTGAGGAGGAGGATAATAATGTATTCTTCAAGGGTGGTTGTGTATAAGTAACATTATATACATATAATGTTAGAATGTCCAGCTAACACAGCAAGGTACTGGTGTTTTGGAAACAATGGCTAAGCATGTAAGTATGTGCTTGTGTGTGTGTGTGCGTGTATGGTTACACACAACCACCCTTAAGGGATATATTATCCTTCATATATATATGTGGCATTTAATTAAATGCCTAGCTCATGCTTATCAGTATCATTAACTGAAGCTACGGCTACTATTATTAGCATTCCTGTTAATATTATTGTTTTAAGCCTACAGATAGCTCTTATCTGACCCCTCAGTTGATTTTGCATTATAATATATCAGACTAGGGAAGAAATGAATAATTCTTCACTTAAATTTGCCTACTTTAGATAGGTGGCCAGAGCATAGTTTCTTGCCCATCAAAGGACTTTAAGTCAACAACTTTTAACTATGTCATACCACAGTGGGACAAGAGGCTTCCTTTTTGTTCCTTGCTTTTAACCTTTGTGATAATTTACAAAGATAAACCCTTGAGCACCCAAGATGCTTGTATATTAGTACATGTAATTGGGTTAATTCTACATGGACAAGCAAGATATTAAGTTGATAAAGTATATAAATTTAGCTTTTAAAAACATTATTAAAGTTCTTAATTATCTCTCTGTTATTTTAGATCAGCCCTCACACTTGCTGTTCGTCTTGAAAAAGCAGATATAGTCACTCTTCTTCTGCAGCACGATATTGATGTGTTTTCTCAAGATGTCTATGGGAAGACCGCAGAAAATTATGCTGCTGATGATAAAAATGAAATGTAAGTCTTTACATAAAAAGGCTAGTGAACACTAAATTGAAGTTTACAATAATTGTAATAATTGCATCTTATGTATCAGGTGAGATTTCATAGTTTGGTTCAGGTAGTTTTCAAGTGGCAAGTTTTTAAGTTTTCAAGAGTTATGGAACTTCATCAGCCAGAAATCAAGCAAAAGGCTGGATAAGTAGCAGTAGGTACAGGATTCTTGATATTGAAACTTTTAAGACTTTTCTCATTAGGGATTCCAATGTTCATTTTATTTCAAGTATAATCCCTATGCATAGAATAAAGTAGTTTCACATCTTTGATTTTTCTAATTAGTTATTTGGGTCTTGAAATGTCCAATTTATCGAAAAAATCTTGTGCTGTTTACTGGGGACCATCAACTATAGCCTGATCCTTGAATTTTTCAAGAACCTAAGGGGTTCCCTAAGTTCAAGGAAGACGAGTAGTTTCTATAAGTCAGAAAGGGAGGGGGAAAGGACATGTTAATCATTGATTTGTTTTCATTGATTCTGTTGCTGCTTTCTTGCCATTGAAAGTGCTCCTACAGTCTGGTAATGATTGACCTTTGCCACCCAAGTTGCCCTGATGCCCTTTCTATTTGAGATTGCTCAATCTTCACACTGATTCATTAAAAAACTTCAAAGTTAAAACTATTTTTTAGTTCACATGCATATACTTATATGCTCAGCCATTGTTTCCAAAACACCAGAACCTTGCTCTGTTAGCTGGACATTCTAACTTTATGAATACACATAGTGAGCAAATTGACACATTCACCCACACTCAAAACCTGATGTAGAGCCCACATTTTAAGCTGGACTTCAAGACCTTCATGGTGGGTTATTTTTTGAGTCCCTTGGTTTTTTTGTGTTTTGTTTTTTTTTTTCTCTTTAAAGCAAATATTAGTTGGGATAGTTCTAAACTGTCAGAGATACTCAAATAATATTGTAGAAAGAAATTACAGGTTTTTTTTATTGCTACCAGTTATGTACCCTGAGACTTTTAAAATAAACAGTGTAAGAGCTTTTCTCAGGTAGTGGAAGTTTCTATGCCATCCTTCCTTAGAGTAGTAGGCATCAACTTGTGGTTGGCCCCTCAGGTGGTCTGTTTTCTGTAATAATGAAGGTCTCTCAAGCTGCTTGCATCACCATCTCAAGTTTTTAAAATATTTTTAAATTCTGCTTTATAGGAAGTCATTCATCAGAATTATCTGAGGCTCAAGTTGGTTAGTTAGATTTAACAGAACTAAGCCTCATCCATGGCTCATCAGCATTTATATGTAAAAGTGAGGCTATGTGCTTGCCTTGGCAGCACAAATACTAAAATTGGAACAATACAAAGAAAATTAGCATGGTGAAGCATTTCATATTTTGCAGTCACGGGAAGGTCATTTGGCTGCTGGTCAGCTAAGTAATAATTTGAATCAAAACAAAATGGGTGGCACCTTATATTAGGATTGTGATTTTTGTCACAAAGGTGATCTATAAACTGAGAATGGAGCTAAGTAACACATGGGATGTTGTGTAAATATTTTGTTAGTATATATCTTGGAAATGAGAAAATGTCAACTTTCACCTACTTTATGGAACTTAAAAAAAATGAAAGTAGGGCTTTGTCTTCCATGTCAGTTGGAGATAACATGGAGATTAACTATCACTCTAGTAAACATCTGCTGGTTCAGTTAGAATCTGTAGAGAAGTGACAGTGGTAGCCCAAGCCAGATCTTGATATCTGTTAGTTTTCTCTCCTTGGAATTTATGAGCTCAGTAATAGTGGACAATCATGTTACCTATTTTAATGAAATAATGTATTCATAAATAAATTTATTTATAAATTATGAAATAATTGAGATGACCTGAATTATAAGCCACAAATAATAGAACAATAAACAAAATTAGGACTTAACATTTTTCTTAAACTGAAGCATTTGAATATTATAACCTATGAAAAAATACACATTGGGCTTGATTTGGGATTTCAAAATAGTTCCAGCAATAAAATTTAAGAATAGATTTCCACTACTTTACTATTTCTCTGTGAATGTTAAAAATGCTACTTCATTAAACCTGTAAAATAGCCTCATGAAAGAAGGCAGTACAATCTAGAAGAAGACATTGTGCCTAAGAGAAGCAACTTGTTTAACAGCAAATACCTGTAGGCTACAGAGCCAGGACTTATCAGTAAGAGCCAGGAAGGTGACTTTCTATTATGTCAAGGTGATGTGAGTTAGTATATGAGCTATACTGCCTTCACTTCATGAGTACTTCACCTGTCTTTATTATTTAATTAGAAAGGTGCTAAGAAATTTATAGAGCTTACAGAAGAGAAATGTATAGGATAATTAACATCCTGATACTGTTTAAAATACTCTAGTAATTTAGTATGTTTGGTAAATGTTTTTAATAATAGTATTAAAATATAAATTTCCTTTATTAATTTTATGCATAGCATTCTCAAACTAATTTCTGAATACAAAGAAGAAAAGAAATCTAAAGCGCTTTCTATAAATAGCAATCCAGGTAAGATTCTGACAGTGAATTACTCTTGATGGTGTTACCATAGATAAAAAAGAATAAGGATGTTTTGATTACAAAAAAGCACTGTTTAAATGGCATACATTTAAAAAATACTTTCTTAGTAGTCTAGATTTCATAATTATTTAAAAAGTTAATTGTAGATAATTTATAATCTGAAATAATATTGTTTGAAAAAATTATTATTTAATTATGGTTCCTAATATTCTAGATGATCTTTTTGTGTAAATAAGAAAACAAATTTTAAGTTATGCTGTGTGTTTTCTTTATAGTCACATTATAATGAATTAGACTTTTTATTTAATTAAAACTTCTATATAATTTGTATAAGAAATTCTTTGCAGCTAGTAAATGAACAATAATTACAATTGACCCTTGAATAGCATGGTATTTAGCTCTGCCAATCCCCATGCAGTTGAAAATACATATTTGGTATGTTATATGTATTATATACTGTATTCTGCATACAAGAAAGTAAGCTAGAGAAAGGAAGCTTTTGCAGTAGTTAAAGCTGTAGTTTCCTTGTAGTTCAATCCTTGAACTACTATCAAGCTAGTGTGAGGTATTTACCCTTCCATGGTAAAATAAATAAATAAATAAAGTAAGCTCCATTTATTCATTTTAAAATGTTGGTCTTTTTCTTGGCCTTGTGCCTTCTTCATTTTTTTTGCTTAATTTTTCCTTATATTTATAAAAATACAATAATAATTGATAGGGAATTTTCTCTTGTGAAAGCCATCAGTGATGAAGCCATATTGACTTAGGAAATATAAACATATTTATGTTGTGGCAGTAGATATATAAAGCAGAAGCAGAAAAGAGGTACAGTTAATATGATTTAGTGAACATTGAATGTAAAACATTAGGGTGCAGAGAGAAATTTTGGACCATTCATAGGTTTCCAGGTTGTGTACTAGCCTTTATACCACACACTAGAAAGGAGTAGGACATGTTCAGTGAATGGAGAAGTACAGCTGGTCAACAGGGAAGAATAATTTCCGTTCCCTCCAACTCTGAGTTTGGATATGCAGACAGATTGATGCTATTCTAATTATTAGGCAAAGTCATTGATCTCAATGAGCTGTCCATGATGCAGATATAGAATGAGAAGGCATCCAGTGACAAAACCCTGGGAATGTCAATATTTCCGCCATACCTCCAGAAAAAAAAGAGTTGGTTAAGGAGAATGAGCAGTGGCTAGAAAAAAGTGGGAGAGGAGTCAGAGGAAGTGATGTTGCAAAAATAAAAAATGTGAGAATTTCGAGGAGGGAGTATCAATTCTAGCAAGTAAGATGACTAAAAAGTCAATTAGATTTAACTTTTAAAAGCTCTTTGGTGGTGCCCTTTCCAAAAGAACCATTTTTGAGGTGTAAGGTGCACTATTGATGTGATTGGTATGTTTGGTGTCCAAATATGGAGGAATAAATCTATCAAGATTCTGCGTAACTGTTTTGTAACTGCAGAAGCTACGTGCACAGGGTCAGGGAAAATGTCTTGACTTCTGAGTACATATGCCAACGCTTTCGCAGAATTGTCAAAACCTAAGGGTAATGTGTGAGAAAAAACTGTGGTCTTCTTATCTGCTCCTTGTGGAAATACTTAATTTGTACTCAAGTCCCTGATAAGTTCTTCTGGATGCATTCTGAAACAAAAGTCTGGCAGCAGTAACTGCAACCAACTTCTCCAAAGCACATACACCCCAACTCACTCCAGCATGGAATCATAACACAGCTGCATTTCAGGAGTTTCTAGTTTCAGTCAGAAGTAGTTTACAGATCAGCAGTTTGGAAAAGCTAACATCTTGTATATAATATCATGGAGAAAAATATAAGGTGATATGCTAAATATGCCAGTTCTCTGTGTTCTGGGACAATTTGTTTTAGTGCATTTTCCTTTTCATTGCCACTTACAATATCTTCTTTTATGGCTTTCTTTTGAATTTCATCCCTAAAGAAAATATTATTAGAACACATTTCTAACATAGGTATGTTTGACAACTATATATTATTTCCTTTTAAGAGAATTAGCTACTTATTCTAAAGTATATCTGATATTCTATTAATCTTTAATGCTAAACTTCTTGGTATCTTTAGCACCATGACATTGTAAGTGATGACAGTCCTTTAAGATTTTGAGTGTCTTTTAACTTTTCAAATTTTAAATGTCTTTTAAATTTTCAAACTTGACATAGTTTTAATGTAAACCACCTTTCCTGGTATTACCTTTCTTCAAATATTGCTAATCTGTTACTTAGCTGGAATATTTGGTCAATTGGATTACCAGACTTTTAACCATTTACATATAACTTTCTTGATTTTTTTTTTTTTTTTGAGATTGAGTCTTTTGCTGTCTCCCAGGCTGGAGTGCAATAGTGTGATCATAGCACACTGCAGCCTCAAACTTCTGATTTCAAGTAATCTTCCTACCTCAGCCTCCTGAGTCGCTGTAACTGCTATAAGCGTATGCCACCACCTCCAGCTAACTTTTTTTATTTTTTTTTATTTTTCAGAGACAAAGGTCTCTCTCTGTTGGCCAGGCGAGTCTTAAACTTTTGCCTTCAAGTGGTGCTCCTGCCCCAGCCTCCCAAAGTGGTAGAATTATAGGCATAAACTATGGTGCTGGTCCATAACTTCCTTTATTTCCCAAATAAGCTTAAAGTCCTCTTGACCCTTGATAATAAAAATCCACTGTTTGGAAGAAGAAGTGGATAACTTATCCTATATTTTAAATGCAGTTTTTGACTTTTTGACCTGTTCTGTGAAGAACTGCCTTTAACAGATGATTTTTAGTTTTAATAGACATTTTTAGTCTTACAAGAAGCTAAGAAAAAAGATTAGAAACAAATTAATTGAGCTCTATGATCAGTGGTACAGTATTATACTATATCCAATGGCTACATATATTTCTATAATTATCACAATGACTTGAATGATGCAAATTATTTTATGCATGTTTTCACTAATACTTTTTTTTTTTTTTTTTTTTTTTTTTTTTTTTTTACACAAAGTCTCACTCTGTTGCCCATGCTGGAGTGCAGTGGTGCAATCTTGGCTCACAGCAACCTCCACATCCTGGGTTCAAGCGATTCTCCTGCTTCAGCCTCCTTAGTAGCTGGGACTACAGGCGTGCACCACCATGCCTGGCTAATTTCTGTATTTTTAGTAGACACGGGGTTTACGCTGTGTTAGCCAGGATTGTCTTGATATCCTGACCTCGTGATCCACCAGCCTTGGCCTCCCAAAGTGCTGGGATTACAGGTGTGAGCCACTGTGTCCAGCCTACTAATACATTTTAGAGATGGAGTCTCACTCTGTTTTCCAGGCTGGAATGCAATGGTTATTCACAGGCACAATCTGCATTGCAGCCTGGAACTTTTGATCTCAAGCAATCTTCCTGCCTCAGCCTTTGGAGTAGTTGGGACTGCAGGTGCATATCATTGCACCTGACCTGATACCCAATTATTATAAAAGAAATCTTGCTGAGCTGAAGAAAATTGACTGTGATCTGTTTGTTTCTTTTCTAGAATATTTCATACTATGAGATATATTTTTAATTATTCACATTCTCAATTTTTTTATTCTGGTTAAAATAGGATTGCTGCTTGTTTTTCATTTTTTTCACATAATTGTTTCTATTCCGTTTATGGATTTATTCAAGCAGAAATACAGGAATCTTCAAGGCAACTGTCAAGGAAAACAGATTAGGGAAAGGTATTTTGTAAAACAGCTTTCTGATTGTAGTCACATGTCATATCACTTTAAAGAAAACAAATTTCATATGATGCAATTGTGTCAGGGTTTCCCAAGACTGCCTCTATGTTTAGTGATTGATTCACTTGGAAGGACTCAACAAACAGTCATGCTCAGGGATTTGATTTGTTACAGTGAAAGAATACAAAATAAAATTAGTTCAGGGCAAAGGGACATGTGGCATGTCTGGGGGAAGCCAGGCACAAGCCTCCAGGAGCCCTGTCCTGTGGAGTTACCAGGATGTGCTTAATTCCTGTATCCTTGAATTTTGACAACACACGTGCAATGTTGTTTACCAGTATGAGTCTCATAGAGACTTACACAGTATCCAAAGATTTTATGGAAGCTAGTTACATAGGCATCCTCTCTCACATGTGCAGAAGTTCCAGACTTCCAGAAGAAAAGCGGCTGTTTAGAGTCAACCACATTGTTTATGTAAACAGCTTAGGTATAGTGATCTACTTTTCTCAGTTAGAAAATGGTGAGAAACCTTTAAAATACAAATTTCCAAACACCAGTGAAGGGCCAGTTTCGCATGTAGGGCTTTCTAAAATGACAGTAAATTTGTTGACATGTATGTTTTTGCAAAATTGGACAAACAGATAGCAAGAGTGCTGAGCTGCTGAACTCAGAAAATGTAGGTATATCAGGAGACTTCAGGAGTATAAAGAAAATGATTTTTAAAATTATGACTCTTAAGTATAAATGAACTCACTTCAGATGTATTTAGAATATTTGCATAAAGGGTGGTTTGATTTTGGCTGCTCCAGGAACTACTGGAAGCAGGAAAGAGTGCTAGAATTAGGATAAGCCACAGTAACTCATTACTACCCTTATTTACTATTGGGCCACAGAGATACATGTTTTGTTGATATTAGTTATTCAAATGAGATAAACATGAATATACATACATTCACTTTGTTTCTCGAGAAGCTAACTTTTGGATGAAATAGCAATTTAATAAAAATTTTTTAGAGAATAGCATACTTCAAACTAGACTATTTTGGAAACAAAAATAATGTTGAATTCATTAATTGACTCCTAAAAGGTTTATTTTCAATGAATATTAGAATGAGTTTCAAATGTAAAAGCTTATTCATAACTATCCCTGTGGCAACTTTATTTTGTATAAGTATGTCAAATTTGATAATTTATTATACTTTTTGATGCAGTTTATATATTATATCTTCTTGCCATGAGTGAAATGAAGAAAATTTCTCAAGGTTAAACTAGAGGCTACAAGAAATGTAGGCACATTGTTATACAACATGGGTATGAGAAATAAAGAATATTATGTACTAGGATTCACCAAACTTATATCCAAGCTGATCATTGTGAGACACTTCCAATAAGGAGCTGT